GCTTTTTGCCTTATCCCCCTCAAAAGATCCTGCTTGCTTTTATTTGGTATAACACTGGGCAAAGGTGGAGGGTACTGGGCAGGGGGCAGGGCATGCTGGAAGTGTAGGTCTGAGTTGGGGGCACAGGTGAGAGGAAAGTGCAGGGGTTGGGATGAAGGGTGTACTGTGTAGAAGGTAGGGATAAAGGAGGCAGAATGCAGGGACTTGTGGTAAAGAGAGCTCAGAATGAAGGTGCAAAGTTGGGGAGCCCATGGGTGCTAGGGAAAATGGGTGGTGCTAGGCTCACAGGGATCAAATTAAAGTTCGCCCAGGACACCATCTTCCCTAAGGCCGGCCCGGTATTGGTAGATAATTATGTAAACAGAAAGCTAATGGATTGTTCCCAACTATCTGTGTTTAAAGATTCAATTTCCGCATACCTAGGCATATAAGTTTCTACCATGGAACTTTGTGAAAGCAATATAACTAGAGAACTGGAGTTACGGAAAATGCCAAGAAGTGGAATGTGATACTTTGAAATGTTGGTTATTTTACAGTAATTACAACATTTTAAAAATATTTTTAACCTTTAAATAACTCATCTCTACTCTCAACCACAACACCAGTTTAACACAGTATTTTGTCTGAGAACTGAAGTAAGGCCTGCGCTAAAAGGAATCTTGCATTGTGCCCTAAAAGAGACAAGACACAAATGCATCCTGATCTATAGCTGTTAAGTCTCCTTTCACTGCAGACTCTCTGCCAACCTCCTATCCTACATCTAAATGAGAATATCATCATGGACATCGTCAACAGCTGCATCTTTGCTAATGACAGAATTCTCTATGTGGTGTGTGAAAATTAACCAGATCTTGGAAAGCTTTGAGGTAGAGAACTAGGCTCAAAAACTGGACCCAGTATTGCATGGGGACCTAGTGCAGAATGAAGAGCACCCTGCTGCACAGAGCACTGGTGTGCAGATCTCATCAACCTGTTTCATTCCAAAGACAGGGCTCTGTGTAAACAATACAACCCAAAGCATTTGTATGGCCTCCTCTGTTAGCCATAGGTACTGCAATGAATTTATTGACTCACTATTGCCATTTGTATACCCCATTTCAATGTCCAGCCAGTAGAGGGCTCTATAGTCCCAAGTGCAGGGAAGAAAAACAGATCTGACCAAGTTTGGGAGATTTACTGACTTTTTTTGCTCCCTAACGAAGAAATAAGTGTCAAATCGACCAGTAACTTGCCAGTTACAGTGATATTCAAAGAAAGAACCTGCCAACTTCTATAGTTATAAAACAATTCGCAAGCAGCTCCATAGTCTTAATAAAATCCATTCTGTGCTCTCCACCCCACATAACCTGCCTCCCTAGCCTCACCCACTTCATTAGCCATGTTTCCCTGGATCACAATGGGTATGTTCTTTATTATAGAGTGGTAAGACAGACCACAATTGGGTCAAAACAAGCTCTGCAGAATTCTCTCCAGAGCACACTAGCTTTAGTGAAGTATATAATTAGACTCCACAATTTTTTTTCCTCACGTAGGCTGTGCCTACACTGGCATGAATTTCCAGAAATGCTTAAAACAGAATAGTTTTCGTTATAAGTATTTCCGGAAAAAGAGCGTCTACACTGGCAGGCTGCTTTTCCGGAAAAGCGTCCGTGGCCAATGTAGACGCGCTTTTCCGGAAAAGAGCCCCGATCATCATTTCCGCGATCGGGGCTTTTTTCCAGAAAAGACTCCTGGGCTGTCTACACTGGCCCTTTTCCAGAACAGTGTTCTGGAATAAGGACTTATGCCCGAGCAGGAGCAGAATAGTTTTTCCGGAATAGGAGCTGATTTTGTACAGTTCAACGTCGTTGCTTTTCCGGAAATTCAAGGGCCAGTGTAGACAGCTCGCCGCTTATTCCGGAAAAGCAGCTGATTTTCCGGAATAAGTGGCCCAGTGTAGACACAGCCCATTAGATTACCTTGCAGTTGATGAGGTGTCCTAATAAATCTGTTAGTCTTTAAGGTTCCATAGGGCTCCTCATTGTGGATTAGTAGATATTTTACACCTTGCCATTCACATGTTAATTTCTATCTAATCCTAACTGAAATTTATTTAAGGACTGCTCAACAAATACAACAAATACAGGGCCTACTTCTATCCACATCATCCCATGCTAACACACTCAGCACATCTTTACCACAATCTTTAATTGGCCTATGTTAGTAATTACTGAAGAGGGGCAGTGGCAGCGAAAAGGGGGAGGAACTAAGAGCCAGGGTTCTCAGCACTGCACAATTCTTGATTTAGTCTGAATCAGAGTACAGGATTGTGTCCAAGAGGTAAATATAACAGAACCGCTTAGTAATAGCAACTGCTGTGTAATTAAATGTAATATCCTTGTACGGGGAAGTGCCAATGAAACTCATCACACTAGTATTTAACTTCAAAAAGGAGAACTACCCAAAAAATGAGGAAGCTAGTTAAATGGAAAATAAAAGAAACAGGGTCAAATTCCTGCAAACTGCAGGGAGACTGTTAAAAAAAATGCCAATGGGGGCTTAAATTTAATGTATATCCCAAATTTTTAAAAACAGTAAGCATAACAAAAAATGCCACCATGGCTAAGCAGCAGAGTAAAAGAGGTCATTAGAGGCAAAACAAGTGTGCAAATATAACAAGACAGGACAAAACAAAACAAAAAAATTAAGAGAAACTAGCTAAGGACAAGAAAAGTAACAATTATTTAAAGTATCACAGGAGTAGGCTGATTGAGGTGCCAAAGGAGTTCAGCTAATATAAGGTAGTTGAGGAGAAAATAAACTAATTCTGCAGTGAAGACTGATGACTGTGCCTAACCTGAATCATTTTTTTAGTTGAAAAGTCTGAGGAACTATCCCAGATTAATAAAGAAGGTTTTGGAACAAATGTATTAGGACCAAATGATATTCACCCAAGAGTTTTGAAGAAACTCAAGAAAAGGCAGAACTACGAACTATGGCATGTATCTTGTTGCTTAAATCAGCCTCTGTGCCAGATTACTAATCTGATACCTATTCTTTAAAAAAGGCACTAGAGATTGTCCTGGCAATTACAGTTTGATAAGCGTAACTGCAGTACCAGTCAAATTGGTAGAAACCATAATACAGAACAGAATTATCAGAAACATAGATAAATACAATATCTTGGGGAAGAGTCAAGACAGCTTCTGTAAAGGGAAATGACTCACCAATCTATTAGAATTATTTGAGCAAGTCAACCAATATGTGGACAATAGTGATTCAGTTGATAAAGTGTACTTGGACTTTAAGGAAACCTTTGATGGGGTAACTCACTGAAGACTCTTATGTAAAGTAAGTAGTCATGTGATAAGAAGAAAAATCCTCTTAAAAGATAGGAAATAAAGAGTAGGAATAAATGGTCAGCTGTCAGCCCTCCTGCAAGAGAGTGGGAGCTCGCACCCGTAAATCCATTACACCCACCCATAGGCAAGAGCAGTGGTTCCCAAACTTTTCCAGATAGGAACCCATTTTGACAATTCAGGAAAACTTGGTGACCCAGAGCAATTCAAAAAATGTGTGAATGGCTCCTTAAGAGCCACCTGGGGAGACACCTGGTGACCCTTTCGAAATGTAATGATGACCCATATTTGGGTCCCATATGGCTGCATTTATGTTTAACTCCAATCAACAGTCTCCACATATAGATCTTTGGGAGGGGCTGCAGCAATATCCATGATACCTGTAATAGGTCAGAATGAACTGGCTGCTGCATGAGTCCTGAAGTTAGGTGATTGTTAACACTGACATTTAAGTTAGTATTTTCAGAAGGCCAAGGGAGTGAGGTACCCAAATTGCACTAAGTTTCAATGAGATTTTGCCCCCTAGGTCAGTATCCAAAAAGATATTTAGATGCCCAACTCCCGTTGAAGTCGGGGGAATTAGGTACTTACCTTTGAGGATCTTGGCCCTAATCCCTTTAGCCTCCTTTGAAAATCTCAGTCCAACTTATTCAAAATAATTGAAGCTCAAGCTCTAAAAATAAATATGTTGTTTGAAGGTATAGCTGGAGTCATGAATAAAGAAGCCTTTCAATCAATTTTCCCTGTAAACTTCCTATCTGGGTCACAATCTTGTATGTATGGCACAGGATAGTAACATGCTACTCATACCACTTCTGTGCAGCACAGAAGAAATTAATTTAATCAAAAATTAATTATAGGTGGTAATTTCAACACAGAGTTCCCCACCTCCAGAGCTGCAACTGACAAGACCCTACCCCCACACACACACTGCTTATCCTCTCCCACATACACAACCCGCCTGAACACCTTCCTCACTAAACAAAGACACAAGCTTGCTCAAGGACAAAAATGTATTACTCAGTCGAGTTAGTAGCCCACTCACTACAACTAATTTTTAGAGAGAAAATTGATCTCAACTCTAGAAAGAAGTTACTTTTAGTTTTCCAGACAGAGCTTGTCTAGGTATTGTGCTGTATTACAGTTTTACCCACAGCCCACTATCTCAGGAAGAGTATAAGTCCCTTCCCTACCAATTCCTCATTTTTGCCCCTTATTGTTTCTGTCTCTCGGATTCTCATTTCCCTCCCTTTTCTCCCTCTTCTGGCTTTTTTCCCGCTCCCCATTTTTAAATCCCAACACTTCCCCCTGTTTTTATCCTGATTTTGTTCAAAGAGCAGATGATTATGGGTTACCATTACAGGCAGCTTCATTTAGTCCAGCCTCTTTCCTCCATTTTTACTGAGCACATTCAAGTAACTCAGAGCTGATACTGTGCCAGACATCCCTCAGTTCCCCTCCCCTGACTCAAAGGCATCTTTTGAATGACAGAGGTATGAGTATCACTCTCCACCTGCCATTCTGCAAGAGCCACGTCAGCTTCGTTCAGGAAAGAGGTAGGGTGTCCCAGGCTGCCTGACAGCACAGGTAGCCTAACTCCCACCCTCACTCCTGCCTTTCCTGAGGAAAGCTCGTCCCTACCCTGCTGCAAACCCCAGATACCTCTGTAAGATGGGTGCGTTCTTGGGGCAGCACTTTCTTCTCCTTGTGCTGTTGACCACCGTTGTTCTCAGTCCAGCAACTGTAGTAGCACTAACCCAAGATGATGTCGGCAAAAAGGATGCCTATCCTCCTCTGTGGCATCAGGCTCGTGGAAGCATAGAGGATTTCCCACTACAAAACAAAAAAACCATCATAAATGCCTGGAACTATCTGGAGAGAATGGGAGTGTACAAGATCCTGCTCAACTCTTCAGCTAAATATCCATGATACCTGTAATAGGTCAGAATGAACTGGCTGCTGCATGAGTCCTGAAGTTAGGTGATTGTTAACACTGACATTTAAGTTAGTATTTTCAGAAGGCCAAGGGAGTGAGGTACCCAAATTGCACTAAGTTTCAATGAGATTTTGCCCCCTAGGTCAGTATCCAAAAAGATATTTAGATGCCCAACTCCCGTTGAAGTCGGGGGAATTAGGTACTTACCTTTGAGGATCTTGGCCCTAATCCCTTTAGCCTCCTTTGAAAATCTCAGTCCAACTTATTCAAAATAATTGAAGCTCAAGCTCTAAAAATAAATATGTTGTTTGAAGGTATAGCTGGAGTCATGAATAAAGAAGCCTTTCAATCAATTTTCCCTGTAAACTTCCTATCTGGGTCACAATCTTGTATGTATGGCACAGGATAGTAACATGCTACTCATACCACTTCTGTGCAGCACAGAAGAAATTAATTTAATCAAAAATTAATTATAGGTGGTAATTTCAACACAGAGTTCCCCACCTCCAGAGCTGCAACTGACAAGACCCTACCCCCACACACACACTGCTTATCCTCTCCCACATACACAACCCGCCTGAACACCTTCCTCACTAAACAAAGACACAAGCTTGCTCAAGGACAAAAATGTATTACTCAGTCGAGTTAGTAGCCCACTCACTACAACTAATTTTTAGAGAGAAAATTGATCTCAACTCTAGAAAGAAGTTACTTTTAGTTTTCCAGACAGAGCTTGTCTAGGTATTGTGCTGTATTACAGTTTTACCCACAGCCCACTATCTCAGGAAGAGTATAAGTCCCTTCCCTACCAATTCCTCATTTTTGCCCCTTATTGTTTCTGTCTCTCGGATTCTCATTTCCCTCCCTTTTCTCCCTCTTCTGGCTTTTTTCCCGCTCCCCATTTTTAAATCCCAACACTTCCCCCTGTTTTTATCCTGATTTTGTTCAAAGAGCAGATGATTATGGGTTACCATTACAGGCAGCTTCATTTAGTCCAGCCTCTTTCCTCCATTTTTACTGAGCACATTCAAGTAACTCAGAGCTGATACTGTGCCAGACATCCCTCAGTTCCCCTCCCCTGACTCAAAGGCATCTTTGGAATGGCAGAGGGATGAGGAGAGCTGATACTGTGCCAGACATCCCTCAGTTCCCCTCCCCTGACTCAAAGGCATCTTTTGAATGACAGAGGTATGAGTATCACTCTCCACCTGCCATTCTGCAAGAGCCACGTCAGCTTCGTTCAGGAAAGAGGTAGGGTGTCCCAGGCTGCCTGACAGCACAGGTAGCCTAACTCCCACCCTCACTCCTGCCTTTCCTGAGGAAAGCTCGTCCCTACCCTGCTGCAAACCCCAGATACCTCTGTAAGATGGGTGCGTTCTTGGGGCAGCACTTTCTTCTCCTTGTGCTGTTGACCACCGTTGTTCTCAGTCCAGCAACTGTAGTAGCACTAACCCAAGATGATGTCGGCAAAAAGGATGCCTATCCTCCTCTGTGGCATCAGGCTCGTGGAAGCATAGAGGATTTCCCACTACAAAACAAAAAAACCATCATAAATGCCTGGAACTATCTGGAGAGAATGGGAGTGTACAAGATCCTGCTCAACTCTTCAGCTAAATATTTCACTGCATTTGGACCAAATAATGCTGGCAACATCCTATGGGGCTTGCCTCTGCAACATGGCTGGCAATATCATACAGGTACAAACTCTTCCCTTTATTTCCATGGTCTCTTACTTGCAATCAGCACAGTCCCATATATTCTGAATTTTTATTTACCCAGAAGAGAGTTAAGTTGCTAAGTTGGAAGTGAACTTTTGCAATGAATACATTGTCCTTGTGCTATTGAGCAATAGATATGGTGCCGTGCCTTGCTGATATGGGAAGATATTGCCACATACAATACGTTAATCAGAAGCCAAGTTTTGTTTTTTAGACCAAAAATTGAGGTAGAAAATTAATAGATTGGTGTCTTAATTCACTACTTCAAAAAGACATTTCCTGATAATCAATTTTATAGTGAGTATTGCAACTCCAATTGTAAAATATTAACTTATTTTTTGTGGTTGTTTTAGTTTGGTATTTTATGAAATCTTCATTGTTGGCTTCAGCTTAATTCCTTGAGTAGGTTGAAAATATTATTTTCTGAATTTATGAAAATATTTTCTAAATTTGCCCCATTTTTGAAAAGCTTAAAGCATGGGTGAGTTTTTTTTTTTTTTGAAATTTCAAAATTGACAAAAAAGATTTGTGAAAAATTTCATGAAAATGTTCGTAGGTGAACAAGGCCTAGTTCCTAAGGGCCCTATCCGATAAAGCCAAGCAACATCACTCTTTTCAATGATTTATCATTCTTGTTGGCAGTCTTAGAAATCTGCAAAGTGGGAGATGTATATGTGGTACAGGGATGCGTACCTATGCTAGCCAAATTAAAGCTAGCCTGCCAGTGAATCTGGGGACATACTTGAATTGCTAGCCCATGCCGAAACCCATGCTGCCATGTCTGCAGTTCTGCTGTTACTGGTGCTAGCTAATTTAAAGTTAGCATAAATATGTCCACCCATTCTAAAATCACATCTTCACTTTGAAGGGTATAAATACCTAAAGATCTCTCCAGGTCAGATCTGAAGCAATTTTTGTAAGGATTTTATGAGGAATCTTGTCCTGCTGCTTATTGAAATGTAAATGCTCTGTGGATAAAGACACACACATAAAGATGGCATTAATTCCTCCGATATATTAACAAATACATTTACCAGTGTTACCACTCAGGAGACTAAATTTTCTAGAACATTTACTAGTTAAAATATTTGGTACATTTTCAGGTAAACATTATTAAATCACCCTGTTTTGAATTTCCCCTGATTTCCATTGTACAGTGTTGGGAGAAGGTCATAACTGGAACAATGAAGTGCTTCTGCATCTTTTCAGTGCCACTGGGAAGTTTGGAAAAAAGTTTCAGCTAAACACGATACCGTCAAGTTATTTATTATAACAAATTCTGCCACACTGCTTCCAAATTTTCACACATGATCTCTCCCTGCAAATACATTCTGTTCAGCACCCCATTCCTGACACACATGAAAGAGTGGGAGCCAGAATTTCCATTATGGGATGGTATTTGAATAAAGCCAGAATGGGACAACATTCAGGAGCAGTGACAGAGTTTAACTCCTCACATTGAGCAGTAGCGTAACATGCTAGAGAGCAGTGCACAACACTTGCCTGCTGGTTTCTGCTCAGATGGTACGTCTACACTCCACACTTATTTCGAAAGCTATCTGGAATAGTAATTCCAAAATTGCTTATTTCGAAATAGCACATCTACACTGCAGGGAAGCCTTAATATTAGTCCGAAAAAGTCTGAGGCAGGCTTCCCTAATGTAGATGTGCTATCTCAATTTAGAGCCCCAGAAGGCACTGTGGAGCAATAACTTAGAATGGCCCTGGTGAGGGGCTATTTCAAAATAGCAGCAGTAGAGAGTCTACACACACCTTATTTCAAAATAGCTATTTCGGAATAGGTGTTATTCCTCATAGAATGAGGTTCACAAATTTCAGAATAAGCCACCTGTTATTTCAAAATTATTTCAAAATAACAAAATGGCTGTGTAGAAGTACAGCAATTGTTTATAAAGACAGTAGCGTAGCGAGGGAGGGGGTGAGGAGGGCAGTTGGTGCCACATTAGGGGGGCTGCCAATTTAGCTGCCAAAAGTTATGTTGTTAGTGGTCAGGCGCTGAGAAATGTCCCTCTCCAGGTGCAACTACAGGCTCAGTCCTAGGGAGAAAGCAGGACCGAGCCCCCCTGAAGCTGGGCCCCAGCGGCAGGTGGTTTCTCTGTTGCCCCACACACCGCCCGCTCATGTTGCAAGAACCCACGGCTCAGGCTCTGGCAGAAATGACGAGCTGCAAAGCACTGAAGGAAGGAGGCAAAGCCGCCTGAGAAGATGCTGCTCTGCCAGGTGCCAGCAGCCACTGCCAGGGGAAAGCAGGCAGACGAGTAGGACGAGCTGCAGCTGTGCAGACCCAGTCCCCTCTCTGTCTGCTCAGGCTGCCCTGGCACTGGGGGTGGGAATTGAAGCAAAAGATGTAGACAACGGCTGCTCGGGGCGGGGGGGTGGGAACCTGTTTCCCTTAGTCCAACTTCTGAGTGCAAAGTTGAAGGGCATGGGAAGGAAAGGCGCTGCTGCTGGTGCTGCTGCATCAGGAGGAGTAGGTAACAAATGATTGGGGGGGGGGGAGCGTGCAAATTTTACCTTTGCCTCCGGGCACGTAACACCCTCGTTATGCCACTGTATATAGAATCTAGTACTTGAAAATAATTTATTGTGTTTTAAATGTCATGTAATGCAATTCATATGGCAGAAACAAATGTGAAAGACACCGCCATATGCCCAGCTCATTCTCCACAGACCAAATGTCTACTGTCCACATCTGGAAACTTATGTAATAACAGGTGTTATAGGACCCAATTCATGAAAGCCCATGAATAAACATAGTTTGCTTAATAAGCAAGAGAATACTCATGTCCTATGCTTTAACATGCATGTAAGGGAAGTGCTGAATTACAATGAAGTTACTCACATAATTAATGTCAAATGCATGCTTTAAATGCTTTTCCAAACAGGAAGAGGATGACTTATTTATATCCTCCAAGTTAAACATGTACTTAAATACTTTTCAAGAATCACCATGACACATGTAAACATGTTTAACAATGAACATGTATTTAAGAGTTTTGATAAACAGGAATGGGATTACTCAGATTCTTAATGCTGAGTACAAGTGTTCATGCTTTTCAGGATTCAGGCCATGCCTGGGTCTCTCAGTTCACTGGCATTCTGTACCTCCGGGTACAAACCTCCCTAAGACCAGCTGGATGAGATATCTGTGCTCTCCTGTTCATAAAATGTGTCTGGTACAAAAGCAGTTTTGCTTCTAATGCAAATCTGTGTATTTATAAATGACAGATTTTTATGTTTTCCAGCTTTCAGACAATTCTACATTTGCAGTTCTCCAAATAAATTCACAGGCTGTAGTAGCAAAAAACAATTTAGTTATGCATCTTCTACGCACTACAGGAGGCACTGATTGCAAAATTAAACTACTATATGAACAGTAACTTTTTTCTTTCACTGAGCCACACCCTGCACGATTTACTTATGCAAGAAGTCCAAAAGGCTTCAGTGGGACTGCTCCTGTGAACAGAGTGAGCAATATCTGGAATTCTGTTTTGTTTTTGTTACTTTTTTCCAGGCAGGCTAGCAGATCCTTCTAATGTTACCACCTGCGGCCATGGCACCGGACAGCATCTGTGCATCTCTGTACGAAGCTGGTGGGCCTGTAAGTACCTGTTGCTGATAATGAGTAATGGCCTAGAAGGCAATTCAGAGTCTGAAACCCATTTGAGCTGCAAAGTAATTGCAGGATTACGTGACTGTACAGCGAAAGTTCACAGAATAATATAGAAACACAAGTAAATTAAGACATGTCAACCCTGAAACTTGAAGTGGTTTAAATTCTCAACCTTAAAATGAGACTCTATTCTGCACAGTGACTAAAAATAGCAAGGTGGGGTTCCATATTTGGCAGCTCTCAATGGCCCCAGATCACATTGGCTCATTTGGACTGCCAGCACCGCTGCTAGTCAATGATGTGCTAGTTAAGTGGGGTTCTTTCTGGTTCGTGCCTCACTGCCAATAATACAAATCCTATGGAGAAATTCTATCCTCAGTTGCACCTTCCTAGCTCCATTGTTGCCAACAGGCTTGTAGTGGGGCCAATTGGATAGGAGGAACAGACGCAGTCTGATACCAAGATAAACAAGTCTGTGCTCTTATCATCGTCATCATCCTCTCTGAAATAAAAGTGTAAAGCCACTAGCTCACCCAGCAGACCTGTAGGAGGAGCAATATTGCCCTGACCAAGCATATTATTGCCCAGACTTCCATGTGAAAGGGAAGATGCAAATCAGTGTAAAGGAGGAATAACAGGTTTAGGGCTTTAGTTCGAAATACTGGGTCCCTACCATGTGTAGACGTGGGTAGTTAGTCCGGACTTGTAAATTTCAAAAATGGCACCCGGCCGGGAAGATGCAAATCAAGCGCAGGATATTTAAATCCTGAGCTTGATTTGCAATTCCGAATGCCTACATTTGCAGCCCTAGTTCGAATTAGGCTGCAAGTATAGCCATACCCTGAGTGATTTAGATCCTAAGTTTCACTGAAAGGCAATGGGCTCTGCTCATGGTACTTTTGATACAAGAGTTAGGCTCCGATGTCACTTAAGCCTTACTGTGCTGAGTGGAGTAAAGCCTAAATATCTTCAAAAAGCTGGGCCATACATGCTTCTGTCATTTTATCTTATACCTTTTTTCTAAAAGAAAACTAGCAGGCAAAACCCTCCCACAAGAATAATACTTTACAGCTTACTATGAATATGTAAGTTTCAAGACACTTGAATGGAATAAACGTTTGTTAAAAACCATGTTCTTTTTAGAAAGAAAGGTCTTTTGCCCAGAGAACAACCCCAGTCATCAAGTTTTTATGATCTTTCTTTTAATATTCAACATATAGTCTACTATCTACGTATCTATCTCCTTTTAAAAAATTATTTCCTGTCTATCATGTCTGTGTCTCACTCCCAAATCTAACCTGCTCATGCTTCCTGTCACGTGGCCGTCCCCCAGCTCCACACCATCTGCTGGCCGGCTGCCTGGATCTTCTTCATCCTAGCAACCTCTCATGCCATATAAATATTTTCCTGTGGAGACTTCTGTAATTAAGTGTCTGGCAGCAAGTCAGATCCTAAAAATATACATCATCACGTGAGTAGTGGGTGCTCAAAGATACAAAGAAACACAAGCATTGCCACACTGGATCACACCATCAAATCCAGCATCCTCTCTGACTCAGAAGAAGCTTTTCCAGAAGAGATATTCCAAAAAAACTTCTTCCAAAAGAGAGTGTCTACACAGCAAATGTGCATTGAAAAAGTGATGTGCTTTTTCAAAAGTTAGCATCTACACTGATGGACGCTATCTCACATGTAAACTGTGATTACTATGGACAGAATGTCCACCAGGGCATCTGTACTTTTTCCTCCTTCCTCTTCTTTCTAAAGAACTCTCTCTTCCCCAGCCACACATGCCTTTTTCTGAAAGAACTCTTTTGGAAAAAGGCATCTTCCTTGTAGAATGAGGATTACCAATGTCAGAAAAAACCCTCTGTTTTTCGGGGTAGGGGAGGGGAGGTTCGGAAGAACATGATTGTAGTGTGGATGTAATTGAATTTTTGTTGGAAAATAGCAGTTTTTCCAAAAAAAAACCTATGGAGCATAGACATACCATGATAGTGGCCAGCACCACTGAAGAAGGTGCAAGAAACCTTGCATTAGAATAACCTTTTTAAATGGGTATCATAATGTAACATAAGAACAGCCGTACTGGGTCAGACCAAAGGTCCTTCTAACCCAGTATCCTGTCTACCGACAGTAGCCAGCACCAGGTGCCCCAGAGAGGGTGGACCAAAGACAATGATCAAGCAATTTGTCTCCTGCAATCTCTCTCCAGCCTCTGACAAACAGAGGCCAAGGACACAATTTTATCCCCTGGCTAATAGCCTTTTATGGACCTAACCTCCATGAAATTATCTAGCTTCTCTTTAAACTCTATTATAGTCCTAGCCTTCACAGCCTCCTCTGGCAAGGAGTTCCACAGGTTGACACAAAAATGATTCATACAAGGAATGTAAAAAACTCTTGGATTTGTTCCTTTAGTGTAAGTAACTCTGTAGTCTCACCAGTTTATAGAAGTGTGGGAGCAGAACTGGGGACACAAGAGGGATACTTGGAAGGCTTCTCTTTAATAATTACTTGGGGCCTGAGTCCAGTCTTCTCCCAATTTTCCAGCAGAATAATTCCAATGACTTCAGACAAGTGGCCCCTGATTTACATAGGTTGGTGGTCAGATCAGAGTTGGGGCCTTGTGTCCATTGAATTTCCTCACCCTCCTACACAGCTAACCAGAGGATGCTGAGGCAATGCTAAGGAGGCTCAAGGAGAAGATCTTCACGAGGGCTGAGAACTTATGATGCTTCAGTCCCATCCACTGATGTGCAAGAGCCTCCGGGCATGTTGCCCATGTTAACAGCGGAGCTATTACACTGGAGATAGTTGCTTCGCTCCTTATGCCAGCTGGGGTTTCTGTTAATGTTGGGCTTGAGTCAGTGAAGTGCGGAGCAACCCCCTGAGAAATGAGAATCAGGAATTCTCATGAAAGCCACTGGAAGAGGAGTATACGCTACACTTCCAGGGGCTGATCAGCCCTTTGCAGGGTCCAATATGAACTGGGGAGAGGGGAAGGGGGCAAAGATGAATTGTAAAAGTTAATGATTGTGTTAAGACCCTATATCAGTTCCAATATCCCATGTGAATGACTTCCTCATTCATGTTGTTCTTTATTACTTTTATTATGGCACCTCGGAGCCTAAGTGGAGATCCAGGCCTCTTTTTCCTAGCTGCTGTACAAATGCATGACCAGAGTCAGTCCCTGCCCCCACGAGCTTAATCTAAATAGACGAGACAGACCATGGATGTGAAAGAGGAAGCATTATTATCCCCCTGTGGGCGCAGGGGACTGAGGCACAGAGAAGTCAAGGTCTGGATGTATGAAAGGAATCTGGCGTTGTAACACTGAGCATCACTACACCTACCTCTAGATGGTCTTTTAGGCCTCTAGATGGTCACTGTGAAGTGAATTAGACACTTGTACGACCGTTAGAGTGAATGGGAAAAGATGCCTATGCAGGTGATTCACCAAAGTCGGAGCTAGGCTGCTGGGCCTCCTAAGCTAGCCAGGGCTGCTGATGGGGAAGGGGGCAAAGAGCTCAGTTGCCCTGCGGCCTGGTGATTCAAAAGGGCCTGGGGCTCTTGGCTGCCACTGCTGCAACTGCAGGAGAAGTTTTTCTATTTTTGTTCCAAAACTTCCTCTAATGACACTTCAATCTGGGACAGTTCCTCAGTTTCAACACCCAAAAAGGACGGTGCAGATTCGGGAATCTCCCCAACGTCCTCTGCTGTGAAGACTGAAGCAAAGAAATCATTTAATTTCTCCGCAATGGCTTTATCATCTTTGATTGCTCCTTTTATAGCTTGATCATCTAGGGGACCCACAGGTTTTTTAGCAGGCATCTTGTTATTTCTTCTTGAGTTTTTGGCTAGCTGTTCCTCAAAATCTTTTTTTGCTTTTCTTATTACATTTTTACACTTGATTTGACAGTGTTTATGTTCCTTTCTATTTATCTCACTAGGATTGGACTTCCACTTCTTAAAAGATACCTTTTTGTCCCCCATTGCTTCTTTTACACTGCTTCTTTTACATGTAATCATGTAACTGTAACAAAATAAAAACATCACATTACTTTTTGCTGTGCCTACTCTACCACTCTTCAGCACCATACCTATAGCACATCTGATGCATAGAGCTCATAGTATGAGACTTTTTTTATCATCTTCAGAAAAGATGATTAAATAATCATAAGGGCAGAGTGTGTTGATTTTTTGAAGCTAGCAAGATGCATCTAAAGCACAACAGCAATATCACTTTGCTGATATGTTACATTTGTCCTCACCCTCATCCTTTTCTCCGAGACAGTGCTGGACTCCAATCTCAATACACTTCTGATGCACCAAGCAAAATTTTGTGCTATGTAAATGGAGAAAAAACTATCAGGCCCGTGAGTGTATGGAGGTACACGTGAGTTTAAAATAAGAGCCTTTCTTGTAATTAGAGATATGCAATGCATACCTTCCTTCCATTAATGTTTTTATATTTTGCTCATCATCATAGTATGTCCCACCTTCTCAGTCAGAGAGCATTTGACACATGATGTCAAACCTTTTGTAATCTAAGTGTAAAGCTTGAGGATATAGGCTAAATCTACTACAAGCTGTGTTTTAACTAGCAACCTTTTCATATCATGAAAATGTGTTTTCACAAAAAAAGGAATAGGCCATTTGATAACCTCCCTCCAGTGACTGCAAGCAGTATAAATCTTTCAGACCTCTAGATCTGTGCTCAAATCTACTTAAATAATGATAACAGACAACCAATATACTTATATATAAAACCATATTTTGCGGATATTCCTGAATTTCTTGTGAATCTAAAATTCAATGAGTGTGATGGGCAAAGAAATGCCAGGAGACTGGGAGTGGGAGAAAGAGAAAGCTGCTTGTTCCAGCAGCCAGCTGGAGATCAGAGACTTAAAAATCAAGAGGCATCTACAACCTGTATGCTGTTACAAAGAAAAAAAGTACAATATAATGCCCAACAGACAGCACCCTAATCAAATATTAGCACCTTTTCCTCTCCTAAATCATAGATGCTAGATATGGGTTCTCACCAGGATAGCTCCCATGAATCTTATTGCTATGTCCCCTTCATGTTTTATATTGATTTCTGGCTCCTGAGTTTAGTCTCATGTTAGTGTCTGGTAAACTTTTAAGCCCTGTGCATGGTAACCTGCAAAAGCCTGATATTTCAAGCTGCTAACCCATTCTGCATACAGCTGAACAACTTCAGCTCCTGCTGACTTATTAACAATTGAACTGTCATGTGTAAAATGACTGGTGATTTCAAACAATAGCACAGAGGCAGGATTGCGCTGTTTTCTCTAGGGGGACATGTTTAATTTACTTGCAACTGTCATTTCCTTTTATTTTTCTATGTCATAGCTGTGAATTATTATCTGGCTATTATACCATTTCTGAGTGCTGTGGAAGCTGGTTTCTTTGGACAGCTGCAACATGAGATAGAAATATTACCACCAGAAGAGCTAAGAGCAGACTTCTGCTACAGCATTGCTGACTGCCGTTCCCGCATTCCAAAACTCATAGATGCATGGAAGGCTTATTTTGAGGTAGATAATCATCTTTTGTTGTTGTTGTTCATAGTTTGTGACAGATGATATTAGAACATTGATTCTTAAAAGTATTAATAATTATTATTAATAAAATAATAATAATCAGACCTAATATACATTTCATTAAAACCGGCATCAGTTAGGAGAAATCCAAGAGAAGTCAATAGAGTAACCTGATGTAAAACTAGTTAGAGGGGAGTATAACATACAGAATTTAAGTTTTTGTAGCTTTATTTCTTCACTTCAAAATAATGCTATGTTTTGGAGTCTGACTCTACAGATTGTTATGCTAATGCTTATCTGAGTAATTTGGAAGTTGTGCTTGATTATACAAAAATCAGAAATGTGATGCAGAGTATTCTTCATGAGAAATGCTCCTTTCCTACTTTTATATAATCTGTTTGCCTCTTTGAATGACAAAAGAGTTGTTGTAAGTTTTGCCCATAATGGCATTTGCACACACAATGCAATCTCTCCTTCTCTCTCTCACCTTACACCTTTTCCCTCAAAGAAAAGGGACAGTTTCTTCTCCATCCCAAGATTCAGTAAAGATTCATTTAGTTAGAATTCTTCTCTCACAATTTTTGTGACTAGCCAGAGATGCAAGTATTATAATGTCCAGCCATCAGAGACTCAAAGTCTAAAACCAAACTATGCTTGGAAAACTAGAAAGTTGAACCAGAGAACTGATGTGTATGATTGAATCAGTCATTACAGGCATTTGTTTTCTTAAGTTTATTCATCTGAAATATCTTGAAGATTATAATCAAAGTGCTAAGATTATAATACTCATCTAAAGTATATCTGTTTAGAAGATTATAATCAAAGAGCTAAAATGATACTCCTAAACTAAAAGACAGCTGGCATGATACGTTTTAGAGCTAATTTTCTTTCAGATTTCCTGAAAGTTCACATCAACTCAGATGAAAGTGAGTGAGAGATTGTTCAAATAAGACTAAGTAGCCAAGGATTTTAGCATGGAAAATTCCATGATGCCAAAACACCGAAGACTTGTTTATTATAAAACTTTTATAAAACTGTCCCCAATATTGCTAATACCATTTCAGCTCCACAAATTTTGACAACACTGGAAACCTATGGGAGGCATTTGTTATTTGTTTTATTAAACAAAATATAACCTTACAATTTTTGGGACCTCTCAACATTCCAAAAATATCAGCTAAAGTCAGTAGTGCACCACTTAATTTAGAACTCGGTGCTAATTTATTGTGGGAGGCAGGGGCAGAGGTAATCCAATGTGTTCCAAACGCTTTTATTTATTGTTGGCTTGTTTGCTTCTTTTATTCCCCTTTGAAATGCAATCTCTGGCTGAATCTATGGCTGATTTTAAGCAGAACAAACTATAGAAGAAGAATTAATTCTAAAATTTCTTCTCAGATGTAGCAGCAGGTTACCACATTTTAAAAAGCAGAGTGGGACAGCCATGAAATGTATCCATTTAAACAGAGATTTTAAATAACAGAATGCTTTCAGGTTACAAATCCAAGGATTTCTGAGTAAAAAATATCACCACTGTAGCAGCAAATTACAGTAGGTATCATCCAGTTGTGGGCCTAATACATAAATTACTGGGTGAAATTCTGTGTCCTGTATTATGCAGAAGAGATTACTAGATTATCAAAAACCCCTTCTCCCGTCCTTCCATGTGTTTTCTGAATTTGACCTGGCTACATTGAAGTCAATGACAAAATCTCATTAATCTCAATGGTGTCATGATTTCTATTAATTATTAAATCTATTCATCATTCTTTCCCCCTCATATCAAATATTAAGCTTTAATCGCTATGCAATATCACCACTTGCTAACTATGTAAAAGCAATTTCCCCCATTTAACAAAACCTCATTTTTTTGAAATAGTTGTTTTGCAAGTAAATGAGTGTTATGTATTTTTAAACTACATTCTGCTGATATTATTTTTATGTTCTGTTTTTGCTTTAGTATCTGTTATCCACTGAGCAGAAATCTGATGGGCCCTCAGCATCTTCCTTCTCAATAGAAAAGGAGGAAGCATTGCATTATTTGTGGGAAGCTCATGTAGTGTCCATTGCTTATGCAGTTCCAAAGTTCAGAAACAGGTAAGATAAAACTGCAGAAATAAGGTCAAAGGGGGGTAACTCCCCATTATTAGGCAGCATATCTGCAAGGTTTACTGTACGCTTTCTCGCTCATCACAAGCCTGACTCTTTAGTGGTATTGTGATGGTACATGTTCAGCAAGATTTACATATTCAAAGAGTCTGATGGGGCTGCAATGTGAACCCACATCCCACTCCATCTAGAAAATGACAGACACCAACCAACCTACAACATGGCTTAAGTAGCAAGAAGACCAGGAGATTTATCATTTTGGGGCTGTGTATAGAATGGCCAAATTAACTGGAATTAACATCCTCAAGAATGGCAAAGTGCTGGTATAGATAGGATTCGCAAAGAGCAGATCAAATACTTCCTATCAGCAACAATTCAAATTGTTTAAAACATGCTCAGCCGAATAGAAGGTACCCACTGTCTGGGGCTGAGCACCTGCCATTGCAACTCTGTAAGCCAGGGAAGCATGAAATGGCTGAAGAACTTGAGGGCTATATAACCAAAGTACAAACCATGTGAGAATTTCATCTTAAACCACCTATTCACAGGTGGTGGAACCACCAAATCACCAGCCTGGCCCCGCCCACATTCCGCCCCCAGAATGCCTACGATAGGCGTACTATAGGCACAAATGCTTCTCTCTCCCCGGTGCTATAGGCATACTGGGAGTGCAGTGTTGCTGCTCCCAAGCATCTGCCATCCCTGTGCTCTGGGGCTGGGGAGGCTGGGCCATGTGTGCACGTGCTCACCCGCCTCCTCCCCTCACCTCCCTTTCCCGTGTTTGGAATGTGCTGCCTCCCCATGGTGAGAAGCAGGGCCTCAGCAGAAGAGGCAAGACTGGTGGTGGGGTTGGAGGCTTGCCTCCCTCAGCCCTACCCTCATCAACCACCCATGCACCTATCACCACTTGTTGACAAGCAAATAATCCCCGAGCAAGCTGGAGGCCACTCAACCAAGTTATATACCTGGGAAGTGCTGATCATCACTCAATGCATCAAAAATATCTTTGAAAAGCCTCTGCTAACAGGCTCTGTGTTTGTCGATGATCAGCAACAAATGACACAGTGAATCACTGAAGATTCTGCACTAGACAAAAACCATCATAATGGCCATCCTGCATCAGACCAATGGCTCATCTCACCCGGTATTCCATCTTCCAATAGTGGCCAATGCCAAATGCTTTAGAGGAAATGAATAGGCAATTTATCAACTGATCCATTTCCTGTTTTCCACTCCAGGCTTCCTGTCAGAGGCTAGCAACACCTAGAGCTGCTTCCCTGATCATTGTGGCTAATAGCCTTTGATGGACCTATCCTTGCTGAACTTAGCTGATTATTTTTTACATTACTATTGTAGTTTTGGCCTCTACAATCTCCTCTGGCAACTCTCTCAACCGGGATTCTCTGGTCTGCATTAGAGTTTCTGCAATATAAATGGTCATGATCTCTGGGTAGGATTATTTGGGTGTTAATTTGATCTTTTATTTCTTTCAGCTTAAAATATGTCTCTGGCCCTGAAGCAAGTTTTGGGGAGAATTGGGCTAATGCTGTGGATTTCATTGCGGCTACCCATTTTTCTGCTGACCTACAGAACATAAACTATTTCCAAGCTTTCTTACCACCACGGATGCTTTCTGAATCTGATCAAGTCTCATTCATTAGTGACTTCAGTCCAGAGCAGAACATAGTCTTACTTTCATTATGCACTCTTCACAAAGCAAACAAATTGACAGGTATGAGCCACTTACACATTCTGTAAATATTGTACCTTATTCATCATCTCTATAGTAAAAGGGTAAATGGATCAAGTGTGGAGACAACTTTGATTAGGCGTTATGATGATTGTGCATGTGTATACATTCACCAAAGCAACTGACATCATGCTTTTTCCCAGTAAACAAAGTGTAATATAAAATTCTAGTCTTTTTTTAAAGTTATACAGCACCATCTGATGGTGTTGTTTAGAAATACAAGTGCCTACAATTCCAATTATTTTACAGTTACACTACTTAAATCTCTTTCTTTAGTTTCCCGCATTTAGGAAAATATGTCAGCATCCTGAAGTGAAAATAAAGTACAGTATAATGATATTATAAAATAAGGCTATAATACAGTAAATCTGAAATAAATCATTAACTCACACAGTATTCATTTACAACAAAACAGAACATGCCAAAATTGTTACTGTGACAGGCTGATTGGTGGAATGTGTCATTGTGAAGCTTCTTTGAGAGCTACAACGGTCTTCTCACAGGAAACTTTCAGTCAAAGAGCAATGAATAACTGTAAGAGATGGATTATCTATAGAGATCTTTGTTTTAGATGTGCAAGTCCTCATGAAACTTCAGCACAAACAAATTTACAAACAACAATGGTCTCTCAGTAAGACTGTTTTCTCTGTCCTTCCTTGTGCAACGCCATAAGTCACTGTATTTAATGTAGCAATTTGTTTTACCAACTGGTCATCTGTAGAAAAGATATTGTATAGATCAGGAGAGCCATGACCAGTCTGATGTCAGCTTGGAAAGGGCTTCTGTGGTTAGACACACCTGCCAATCAATGATTAAATACCTGCAGTCCACTGAGTATCGTGAGGACCAGGATTAGAACTTTAAATTACATCTGAGCAGAGACTAGAGCCTCTGCAGTGACTGGAGCACATGAAATGCCTCCTCACACTGAAAATCAGATGACGGGCTGTGGCAAGTTGCTGGCTTTCACTTTCAATTCCAGGTTGTCGCCCATTCATGGTTGTAAGTGATATTATGCAGGCAGCCCATTTGCGCATATTACCTTGCCCTATTCACACTTTACTGGTAGATTGCAGCAGAGGTGTCTTGTACCTGATGGCGTCTTAGCCCCTGGAAAGCTCAGTTTCTTCTATTGTAGTGGCATTGATTTTACAGTAGCATTTTTTTGTTTATTTCTCTCCAAGGAGGAACCTTGCTACTGCTGTGGAGAATGGCTATGTCTACTGAAGCAGGAAGGGCAGTGGTCCGAAGTCTCGTTGAAAAATTGGTTACAGGCCTCAAGTTTGATCCAGTGGGAATATAAATGATTTGAGCTAAGGTATTTTTGACAGCATTTAGTGTCTTAAAAACAGTCCCAACATGAGCCTGATTGATTCAACTATTTAAACAACCGTAGAGTAGGTGACCTGGACACGATAACTTCTTGAAGCAGGATTTCCTAAGTAGCCATGTGTGTGTGCCTCTCCCTCCTTTTGAGTCAATATCATTATGCTTAATTTTCTTAATTTTCCCTCATTTAGTTCATTTGCATGTAATTAAAATGCTTCATTTAAATTATGAGAATTCAGTTAATTTGCCTTATAAATGAATGTATAATTAATGAGCAATCAAATAAAGCCAAATTACAGTCTGACTGTGTCTCTTCTTCTGTATTGAACAGTTTTATTAAATACATAATTCGTCTTGTACGTTGATGGTCTCAGAACAATCAGCTGGAACAGCTCTTTAAATCTGTGCTCCAAAGACGATGCCCTGAATTGGTATTTCTCTGCTACAGCAGTCAGATTTTACAAGTCATCAGCAATTAGGTTTGAAACTTGCAGCCTTTTGAATTTAAATACAGCTCAGATTAATCTTCTATCTGCTGCATTGCATCACACAAGCACCTCACTTCATACTCATGGAGACAAATCCTTACTGGTGCCAGACATCTTCAATTCTCATTGATCTTATTCTCAGGCATAATCCAGCTAGTGCTGGAGGACCAACAAGAACTTTGAGTATTTCATTTATTTTATATATTAATTCATGAGCTCAATCCTAAAAATACCCAGTGGGTACCATTTGAGTGGGCTAAACTTGTTCCTGATTTTGAATAGTTCCATGTGAGTAGCTAGCGAAAGGGTGGGTTCCATGTGGGTGACCTTCCTGCAGAGTAGCTTAGTGGTAGAGATGAGCCTGGTTATTCTGTTTAGTCATCAACTTTTGGAAAAATTCCTAATATGCGGATGTTTTTATATAATAAAAAATAAAGGCAACGCACTTTGATTATCTTTTATTCAACATATCATTCTTGAGCAAACAGAAAGGATCATTTTGGTATCATCTTCAAGTCTAAAATTTACAAAATACATTTATACTTCTGCCATCTGAATACCACATAATGTAATAGAAATGGGTCTCTCCATGTTTTCTCAAGCCTTTTCAATGCTCCCAAATTGCATGTCTTGCCATAACTACATGGATGAGTAATATATCAAGCCCATAATCATATAAAATGGATAAGCCACTAACAACTCAATAATCAATGCCTGACTGGAATGTCCTCTTGATTCATGCACAAAGAGAAAAATCTTTGCAGGTGACACAGGGGGTAACATCCTTCCCTCAACTGCAACCCTGTTCTACTGTAAAAGGGCTCTTTCTGACCCAGTTACAACTGGGTGAAGATTAATCCTTGCTACTTGCTCAGTTAGATTGACCAGTTTCCCCCCAAAATTCATGTGAAATCTGTTCTGGAAATCAAGCAGTAATTTTCAGAACAGTGAGCAATTCAATGTTATTCTGTCCTTTAATGTCCCAGGACAAAGATTTCAATTACTCAATGTCATTTTATGGATAAACTTTTAATGTACTTTAATGAGTCCTGTCATTATCCAACCATTTTAAAAATACATTAATGAGGTCTAAGAAAATGTGGGAGTTTTTACCTTAATTACCTGGTTCATAGCTCAGATTAATTATACTTCAACAGATTTTGTGTATCATCTAAAAGTAATTACTGCAGCTTCCAGCTGTTAAAATATTAAGCTAATTGTGTTCAAGAAAAGTTTGAAAACAAGATTTTGACCTTTTCTGTGTTTAAATTAGCTACATCCCCCAGGAGTCTTTGTGAAAGACAATGGGCTGACAACACAAATGTCCAGACAAATCAGCAAGGAGCATAACTACATATTGCAATTAGAATGTATTTGTAGAATACATTTTTACAAACCAGTAATTGTTTCTTTACATTGATGACATTAGTTAATACTTTTTAAATGGTAGTCAATAATTTCAGTACTTTGGAAAGCAAAGTTGATTTGAACAATTCCTCTTTTTCAAAAATATCTGGTGAGTGCTCACAATTTTGAACTTACAATACCTAGGCCCTGAAATTCCAAAGAATTCTGTGTAGATATATCCCTGAATCCATATTAAACTTCATTAACTTATTCTGAGGAGGCAATCCTTAACTGGGTCAAATCTTTAGTTCCTTTTTAGTCTATGGTTTCTCTGGTGAAATTCTCAGAGAAGGCAACAGAGGTTTGCCAGAATTAGGACTAATTTGGCTCATTATTACACTTTTGGGGTTTCATTTTCTACAGAACTTTCTGATTTTAGGTGTTTATGTTTGTGATACAAGATGGCTGACTCTGAGTATAAATTTAGTTTAAAAATTTATTTCCCTAAAAGTATTTATTTAAAACTGATTGTGGGAAATCTTTAACACTGTTTTTTCTCAGCTCCCTCTGCAAACAATCCTCAACAGTGCAAAAAAGGGTAAATGGTACTGCTAGATATACCAGCTGATGAGCAGGAGGAGTAGTGAATGGAGCCATGCTAAAGTTGGCCTCTGGAATCAGACTCTATAAACCTTATTTTCAAAAGAAAAGAAAGAAAGAATTCTAGCTCTTTTTCTAGGTTAGACTTAAAAATGTAAACACGATTACCAGAGCTGAAAGGAACAAGTAGCAGAACTTCACTTCTCCTACGCAAATGAGGGGAAGGTGGTCTAGGTGAAATTACAGTAAGGTGGGTGCACAATTGATGAAAACACCACTCTCTCAGTCATCATCAATGGTTTGCTGTCAACTAGGATAGTGTATCTACTGAGCCTGAAGAGGTCAGTTCTGGATCCTCTACTATTCAATATTTTCACTAATGATTTTGATAATGGAGAGGAGTGTATGTTTATAAACATTACAGACACAAGCTGGGAGGGGTTGCAAACATCTGGAGGACAGGAATAGAATTCATGACCATGACAAATTGGTCTGAAATCAACAAGGTGAAAGTCAATGAAGACAAGTGCAAAGTACTTCACTTTGGATGGTAAAATCAAATACACTTTGTAAAATGGGAATTGACAAGCTGGTAGGACTGTTGAACAGAAGCTGATGGTTAAAGTGGATCACAAATTAAATGAGTCAATAATGTGGTGCAGTTGCAAAAAAGGTGAGTATCATTCTGGGGTGCATGAGCTGACATGCCACTATTCTCACATTCACCGAGGTAGCATCAAAGTGAACTTAGAGTCATAAAGTGTGAAACTTTTCAGGATCTGAGTCACTGTTTGGCCATGTTCCACATATTGATTTAACTGTTTTCATCTTCCTCATCAGAAGTAGTATGGGTTATACAGAAAAGGATATCCTGTGGAGACAAGTAGAGAATAGATATGAAATCTAGGGGTCAAATAGGCAAATCTATCACTGGAAAATGTAAAAGTATTCCTGTAATGGGATGGTCAACCACTTTAAGTGGCAAGAAGCGTAGGGCCAGCCAACCTTGCTGTTAGGCAGAACTCCTTTAAGAATGGGTGCTTGAGCCTGGTGGAGGAAAGAGGTCAGCGGATTTCTATAAAGGACTGAACAAGCTTAATTGATGGGGTTGCTGCCAGAAGGAGTTTAGCTCCTGTTCTGTGGCAGACCCCGGAAGTGAAAGAGTTGACTATAGATAGGTCCAAAGGGCTTCTGGGAGCCTGCTGCCTGCTTTTGTCTTTGTGTTAGTTGGTGAGTTTTGTGTTGGACGTTTAAACGGCACCCTGAAGGAAGGGCCTGAATAGACTCTTGGCATGGTGCTAGTTCTTCCATATCACTCCTCTTCCCCACCCCCAACACAAACATTACACCCGGCTTTTAATCTTTCAAAGCAAACTTGGGTTCTCTTTGAAGACTGCATGTATTTAACACCATGTCAGCTACTTGCAAAGAGCAGCATCAAAGCAAAAAATTAAAATAACACTTGGGCAGACATAAGAGGTAACTACAGTATGAAATGCACTAAGTGGTGAGATAACACGCGTCAACCACAGCACTCCTTGGCAAGAGTGTTGCAGATAAGGATGTGTGTGACACAAAGAAGGAGCACATTGTATTTAAACAAAAGGCTTTTTGGCATTTAAAGGAGAATGCTGGGAGAAAAGGGTTTTTCTTATCTCTTCCAAGCAAAGAGGCAGAACATATGGAAAATGTGCATGTTGATTATCCACATGGAAATGCTGTCTCACTAGGGACTTGTCTACACAATAACTCTGTGTGCAGACATCCTTCTTCCAAAACAAGACAGTCCTACTCTTGTTTAGTTTAATATGCTTTCTGAGTGAAGTTCAATGGAAAGAAAGCACTGCTATTGCTGAATAAAGGTGATGACAGTCCGCAGTCCGCACTAGGACTAGCTGTTTCTGAATAACTCCATGTGCAGATAAGCCCTTAGTGAGTGTGCAGAGGAAGGCAAGCTCATTAACAATAAATAATTAAGTCTTTAAGCTAACAAGTATATTGGAAGGGTTATGCCAATCATTTACAAGGCAACTATTTTATTATTTAATAACATGACATATTCTTTCAGGCCTGGGAGCAATGTTCTATGCTTCCTTACCTGCGTTTCTCCTTTCATTCTTTATCTGAGTCCTCTCTGAGCTGGGGGGATCCTATGCAGGTCTCACTCATAGGTCTGTAGCAGTACATCTCATCGTCCTGGTTGCATGGCTTTGTCAAACAAGGTAAATTGACAAAAAAATTGTTGGGATCGTCAGTATAGACCTAGTCATGGTGATGGAGCTAATGAGCCACAACTAATACATCAAAAATACTCCACAGAGCTATGCCCTCTGATCTTTTTTTTTTCTTTTAACAAAAAAGCAGTAAGTGCCGGTACTCCAGAGGAAAAGTTGTTGAGCTCTGACTGGAGGTACCGGTACTGCGTCTGAAGGTGCCGGTACTGCGTACTGGGCAGTACCGTCACAAAAGAAGCACTGCCATCTGATGCCTTTCCATGCAGAGTGGCATCTTACTACATGAATAGTGTGACTGTTCAGGGCAACTTACCTCTCAATGGTCCAAGGAGGACATCCACTCCAGGCTTCTCAGCCACCACCCTCTTGAGTAGAGACCTCTATGTTCTCCTTCTTGACCATGTTTTTTTCTAAGCTGCACAGTTCCGTGCTTATACTCTGAATTTTCCTGCAAATCAGACTGTCTAAGCAGGCCTGCTTTGTTTTCTCCTCAGAGACTATAAAACAGCATAATTACCAAAAGGCATAAGTCACCACACAGTTCACTCTAAGCAAGTGCATTTATTCTTAAGGTGAAAGCACTACAGAGAGGACATATTCAAACAATACAAGAAACTACACACATACTAATAGGCTTAACAAATTTTCCTGCAAATCAGACTGTCTAAGCAGGCCTGCTTTGTTTTCTCCTCAGAGACTATAAAACAGCATAATTACCAAAAGGCATAAGTCACCACACAGTTCACTCTAAGCAAGTGCATTTATTCTTAAGGTGAAAGCACTACAGAGAGGACATATTCAAACAATACAAGAAACTACACACATACTAATAGGCTTAACATAGATTC